AGTGTGAGTGTTTTTTTTTAAGGTTAAGGGCAATATTGTCAAACCAAGTAAATTTTGTGGGCTTTATGTAGTAATTTGTGGGCGATGTTTAACAAATCCCTTTTTTTATTATGTTTCGCAGCTTGTATGTACTCAACTTTGCTGATTGCGTGCTTTTGTGTGTCTTTCTTTGGTCATGGCCTTCGCCTTTCAATGACCATGTGATGATTCAATTTTTACACTTGTAATATTGGGGAGCAGATTAACCACAGGTTCTTACACATGCAGCATCCGTAGCTAGGTAGTGGGATCTTGAGTGGAGTGTTCGTTGCTTTTCTTATTTTTATTATTAATTACTTTTGAAGTCATTTAAACTCAATTTTACTTTCATACTACTTCTATTGGTTTGAGTTTTGAATAAAGGTCTTAATGGTTCCAATTTGTAAGATTTAGTTTGGTTTTGGTTATTGGTTTTGAAACTATCTTTAATTGAGTTAGTTTTCCGCTGGTATTTTCTGATAAAGCCTTAACGTTTGAACACGTGGTGGTAGCACGCCAGTAATTTTCTTGAATATTGTTCAGGGTCCTCACAGGTTTAAAGAGAGAATTATTGGGGTGTTACACACTCTTTCACTGTCGAATATTGTGTTCATTGCAATAATCAGGAAGAGAAATAGCATGCATACCTTACACTTGTTATTTCTAGATGTATGGAACAAAGAAAAGATGAGTCATGAAGGTATATCTGTAATGGTGTTGTAGTGAGGATTTGAAAGGAAGAAGATGAAAAATGGAGTAGTAGTACGCTAATCACAAAGTCACATCTAATAAAAAGACATTTTATGAGTGAAAGATTAAAAAAATTAAAGTAAAAAAAAATTAAAGTTGTTGGGGGGGGGGGGGAGCCGTGACTTAGCTTTGGTAATTGAATTGTATCATGCATGTAATGCATGCTTCTTCATTATCAAAGCATGCACATTTGTCCTTTGTGGTTTTGTTTTATTTTATTTTCAACCAATTATTTATTTATTTATTTATTTTAATTTTTTATATTATTATTATGTATTAAAAGGTGATTCAAAATATTAGAATAATATTAAAAATAGGATAGATGAAATCAGTAGTGCTAAACTTTTATCCGGAGTTAGGAAGAAATAATATAGAGAGGGTCGCAGTTTTAAAATTGTATGGATTAGAGGGTCAATATTTAATACTCCCGACCATGATATATCAAACGGAGTAATTGTTACATATGTCAGTGATAACAACATGGTTTTTATTTTATAAGATAAACTTATTACTATTATTAGACTACGATAACACGATTGGGATATGATAAAAAATACTGATAAGATTTACATCCTATAAAAGGGAGATTTCCCTTATCTGAAATCACCATTCACCCCTTATCCACCCAAAAAAACACACCTCTTACCTTTTCATCTTCGGTTTCCATGGCTCCCGTCAACCAATACCGTTAAGCTCTCTCTCCGTTCGACGAGCATTTTCGAGTGCTAAATTTATATTTAGCTTTGATTATGGCGTCAGTGGTGCTACTGATGGCGATAATGATTTTATAATCATGAATAAATGACGACTTGAAGTTTCTGGCACGGAGTATACAAGGTTCGAGTTGTGCTTCAAATTAACATCGTGTTTTATTCGAAAATTAGAAGTACAAATTGTAATAGTTTTGTATACTCCAAAATTATAAATAAACATCACTTACATTCGTCTCTAATTATCGCGGTTGTTGTTAGCATAATTAAATTTGTTATTATAATTATTAAATTATGCAAAATTTATTAGTTGATTGAAAGTAAAAAAAAAAAAGTATAAAAATAGGGGATCAAAATTTGGTGTCTACAAAATATCCCTCATTGATCGAGTTTGGAACAAATGATGATCAATGATTAGAAAAAGATAGTAAATTTTGATCCTTAAATAGAACTTTTAAAGAAACTAGAGTAAAATATAAAAAAAAAAAAAAAACGCTAATAATTATCAAGCATTTACTTAAATGTGGCTGAATACTTGCGGTTAAATACGACGTATTGATTGTGGTTAAAACTTAATCGTCAATTATTTGCAGTTAGAAAATTGGCTTAAAAGTTTTGATTAATGATCAGTTGTGGTTTAAAAAAACTAGCTTCGAGAAATCTCGATTGCGGTTGAAAAACCGGTTTAAAAGTTTTGTTTGATTATCTCATGATCAATCGTGGTTGAAAAACCAGCGATAGGAATCTTGATCGCGGTTAAAAAACCGGCTTAAAATTTTTGATATATTGACCAGTCGTGGTTGAAAAAATAGCTTTGGAAATTTCAATTAAGAACTTAATCGTTCATTAATAACGGTTGGAAAGATCGGCTTAAAAGTCTTCATATAGCATGGAGATAATAAACAGCTTGAGACATATCCAAGTGCAACCATAAAATTGGATAAAAGGACATTCGAAGGATTAATTTGGTTTTGTTTAACTATCCTATTCATGTAACAAAAAGAGCAAGTTCCATGGGTACTTTAATATGAGAACATGGAGTAAAAAGACTATTGATTGTTGTCATAACACATGCATGTAAGAAAATTTGAATGAAAAAAATGGCATGTTGTGGTGGGACTAGATACGTGAAGGCTTATTTGTGTTTCAATGTATGATGGAGGTTTTCTTTACCTATATAATACGAATTGGATTTAGATTGGGTGGAGCTTCACCCGCATCCATCCACTGTTCTAATCGCTCCATCCACATCCATCCGTTACTCTCTTCATCCATTATCCATATCCGTCTATCCATCATCCGCGGATGAAACGGGTAGAACGGAAACTAATGAATGAGTATTAAAGTGAAATTTTATTAATAAAAAAGGAAAAAAAAAAATATTGTTTGAAAAGTTAATTTGCAACAAAGAAAAAAGTAATTTCTTAGACATTTCATATTCTATTATTAAAATTCTTAGATTCAAAATTTATTATATGTTAAACTGATCCATCACCCGTTTCATCCGTCACCCACTTCTCATCCATTTAATTTGGGTTTTTGTCTATTTATTTAAAGCGGATGGAGCGGGTTAGCGGATATCTACTTAATATTTCCATCCTTATTTAGCACGGGTACTTTTATGAGTTGTCAAAAAAGAAAGTGATACGCATGAAAAAAAAAAAAAAGAAGCAAGTGATGCAATAAAAAAAAAAAAAAATGGAGGATGTAGTTTAGAAAAAAAATAGTCGTGGGAGGTTTTGTTAGTTTCATCTTAATACTCCGTAAATACTTCTTCCTTTGTCATCCCTCTATCAATTTCCTCACCCTAAACATCATAACTACCATGACACCTAAACGCTTGCCCAACTTCGACCACCGCACCGCTGCAATCTGCTAGTGACCGGTGTGACCCTTATCAGCACAACAACCACTGCATCAACCTTGCTCCGCCGAAAAACATTAAACTTCAACGAGAACCATGTAGCAACGTCAAAAGGATGCTCATTTGCTTGAAAAAACTAAGGGAGTTATCTATTTCCTATCATGTATCTTTTATACAAATACTCAAAAAGTTTTCTAACACATTTTGGTTTGTAAGGCCTATTAGAGCTCATTTTAGTAGCTTCATAAGTTCATATGTGTGAGGGATGTGTGTAATCCTAGAAGTTTAAGTAGTGCTTTAGTAATTTACTTTGTGAACTGTTTTAATCTATACTATATATTAAAAGGTGTTTTTAATCAAGGATACACACCACGTGTCACCCTCCATTCCACTAACAGTATGCCATCTTCGCTATCTAATAATGTTTATTTATTCTTCTTAAATATAGTTAATGTAGACCAATGTAGAGTTGTAGACCATGATAGTGTATTTAGGGTGTGTTATGTTCACCTTATTTTCACTTATTTCAGGTATAATAAGTTCAGATAAGTTCTGTTAAATTCAGATAAGTTCAGTTCAAGTTTAATAAGTTCTGATAAGTTCTGTTAAACCCAGTACAAATTACAATTAAAATAAGAGATAAGTTCATATAAATTAAGGTAAGTTCATATCAGTGAAAATCAGGAGAATAGAACACACCCATATTCGTAATTTTATGTTGCTATATATATATATATATATATATATATATATAGAAGAGGAGATATATTAATTAATAAATAAACAATCCAAGTACATGGCTAAAAAGCCCAAAACACAATGCCAATGCTGGAAATATAAATATCCAGAAAAAAATTTATGTTGCTATGTATTTGTTAAGTATTATGGAGTACTCCATATTATATATTAACTAGAACACAATTTTCTTAGATTAAATCTAAACTAAATAGGCATACTTAATATTATTATGTACATCAAAAAATTAAAATAAAAATGAAATTCATCTACGAAAAATACAACTGTACACATAAAAATTGGGAACTATAATACAATAATATTTTAAGTATCGATCCGGGACATCGCCTGACTAAACACTAGTTAATGTATTAAAAAGGCATGTTATGATAGCTCGACTTCGAAGTTCATGCTTGCTTTATTTTATTTTATTTTATTTTTTATTATTACCATAAGGATGTGAATAAAGCCTAATAGGTTTCTTGTATTACACGCATATGTATTACATGTGTTTCTTAGCTCATTTATAAGTCTTGGGCTACATAAGTGATTCCCTTTGTTTATTGAATTTCAGGACCGCAGGGGTTTAATGATATTATTATGTAAATTGGTCCAAAACAAGACTAGACTTGGAAATTAAAGTCTAAAAAAAAAGTACGAAGATTTCTATTTCTTTCTTGAAGTTTATTTGTTATTTACAGCAACATTCAGATGTTCTATAATGCCAAGCAATCACCTGTTCAAGATGCCTGAGGCCTGAGTGTTAGACTGGTTTAACAAAATTTCTCATTAATTTTCCTAATTTATTTCTATTCCACTAATTAACTTCTTTTTCTTTTCTTTACTATGGGAATCAAAGTCACAATCGGATGGCCTGTAATTGATTTAGATATCAGGAAACGGTTGCCATATATGTGCTGATGTTTTTAGTTACCTCCATCCATTCATTCAACATCCGAATTGACCAAGTTTGATACGCAGATGTAATCCCCTATAACCACAGCAAAACCGGCGGCATAATTCTACAATTTTGCACGAGCTCAATAGGCAGAAACAAAACTAGCTTAGATCATTTTTACAAGTACGCTATACTAACTAGGTTTGATTACAACATGGTCAGCAAACATAGGATACCTGCAAAATCAGACCCATGAACTGAGATAAAATTCACCGGTGTTGCACAGCAAGACTATGTAGTCCTTGCTGCATCTACAGAGCCTGTACACTTGCTCACATCCTCTGTCGGCACCTCAGAGCCACTAGCAATACACATGTCTAACTTCCGTCTCTTTGCTGCCAATCGAGGTCTCAACTGCAAGAACAAATGAAGCCAGAGACAAACACCTCAGTGATACCAATTTAAGCAACTAGAAATCAGAATAATACAATCCTTGCTCCAACAACAACAAATAACTCTCCAACTAATATACCATTACTCTCACTACAAACGGCTACTTAAAACCCAACTTGCATGATCATCCTTGTGTAGCATGCTAAGAGAGCTTCCCCACACTTGCAGACCATTGATTATTAAGTGAATATCAGCCACATATCAGCTGTTGCATGATCAATTGCAAACTACCTCTTTTGTCATCACAACTCCCCCCCCCCCCCCCTTTCTCTCTGTCCACAGTATTTTTAGAGGCATTCGGATAATTGCATCAATGATATAATGTTTTCTGTCTAATACATGGTTCAGATCAAGGAAATCTTAAAATTAACAATGACAAATGTTGTTGAGTAATCCAACTTGTTAAATTGACTAAGTTCAAAAGACAGATATGTTCCAAATTCAAAAGTGCAGGGCATTCAGGCCATTACAAATATCCACACTTTTTTTTCCCTCCAGATTGTTGCAATGTACTGTAGCACTAAACAAATATTTTTGCTAGCCAGTTTAACCCTTTACCCTCACCCAATCCCTAACCAAGAAAATATAGCCAAACATGTCTGTGCAATACATGGGAAAGCATGACTCACAGACTCGGTAATCAATATAAAGTACAAATGTAAAAAGCAAAAAATAAATCTGTACTTGACGAATACTGGTAGGTGAACATATGCATTATCATTAAATTTTCGCCAAATATACATTAATTAGTCCAAAACCCTAATTAGTCCACTCCATAAACTAATCTGTTTCAACCACCATCTGCTTAACTCTCCATTTGCTCCTTCTAATTGACAACTTTCACAACAATAAGGTAGTAAGGTGTAAGGCATACGACATTTCAGCTCCTTTCCAAAAGGAAAAAGGATCTATACGATGCATAGCCCTGGCAGGAGATAAAGGAGTGTGCAAGCACCAAGGATACTGTATATAACATACAACACCCACCCAGTCCTCACCCAGCGTCCCAGCATTGATGTTAAAAATAAGATATACTCCAAAACACACAAGAATTTTCCTAGTGCCCCCTTGCAAGCTTTGTTCTAGTCACCAAGCAGCTAGGTTCAAGTCTACTGTTAAAGCAAATGAAAGGGTTAACAGCATTAACCTGCACCCCTTTATACCCTCCCCCCCGCCACTCCCATATACTCTGTACTAGGCCTTTAGTATGGCATATTAATAGTGGGAGCAATTAGACTAACCATTTCAATGTACTTCAATTGCTTCATTACTTCTTCAATTTCCAGTTCCTGGCACATTTAAAGATGCAATAACTCAGATGAAGATTTAAAGCATACTCTGATTAAAGCTTTACAGTTCAAATTTCCAATATCAAACTAGACACATAAGACACAATGAGCACTCAAATAAACATATAAACCACATTCTAAAGTTAATGTAGGAGCTAAAAAGTTATACAAGAAAATTTCAACAACCAGTATAACAAACAATGAAATATTGTGAGCAAACCTCATTTGGCAAAATACTCATTCTAAACTATTGTACTCCTGTTCCCTATTCCAAAACAAAATTCCATAGTATTATACTAAAATATTAGACCTGGTTATTGGGTTGAGCGGGTCAGGTCAGGTCAAAAAGGGTCACAATTTATAGAGTCAATAGCAGGTCGGGCCAATGTGGGTCGCAGATCAATAATGGGCGGGCCAATAAACTATCAATAAGAATAAATAATGGACAAAGCCATAATTAAGTACATATGAGTACGAAAATATGTATGTAAATTTTTTTTACATTATCTATTTTCTTTATGTATTAAATTGGACAAATATTTTGGCCTTATATTGGCCTTGTCCATTAAGGGCCCTATAAGCTTGGCCCTAACCCTATTATCATTGGGTTACCCTTTCCAATAACCAGGTCTATAGAGTATGTTTAGATGCCCTAAAATGATTTCTCAATAATCCACCACTACCAGAAACAAAGAAGTTTATACAGGTCTGATATGGGTTTCATCTATTTGTCGATTGGGGACTGAATCATGGGAATGAGGTGTCAAAGTACATCTCTTAACAAGGAACCAGTCGTTTAGATTTACCATGATGTATGATTCCCTATGACAAAAATCGCATAGGTTCTTATGGGTGGATATTAAGATCAAAGATGTCTCCAAATTTGAAGAATATAAAGATCTAATAAGAAAATTACAAACAATTGTAGTGAACAATGGTCTCTTTGTAGATCCATATTTACATTAATTTGCGGTTGTTAGGTTTACTTTTTAGTGGGTGTGCATTAACATAATCATATCTTTGGAGAGTTGGAGGTGCCACAGCCCACAGGTGACACTTCCTACCCCTCCACAGGCAAGAAGTAATGTGACCAGTTTGGGAGGACATTAGTCCACCCTGAAGATTCTTAGTTAGTTATGTGATGGACCTTTTGCTTGCAATGGCCCTAAAGCTTTCCACCGAAGGGTGACTTAGTCAATTGTCCAAGGTTAATCAAGTTAACCCCCAAAGACCAGTTGTTAGTTTGCTGTGAATCAAGGAAATCAAGGGTAACCGCCTCAACAAACTATGAGAGTGTATGAGAGGAGACGCAAACAACAAGGCACAGGGCAGGAATACAATCACAGGCTGTCACAAGAAGACAAACAAGGAAATTCTCCACTGATTGGTGAGGCAACAGGGCTGCATTCACCTGACATAGAACAGGACAAAATTCCTAATGATTAGGGTAATTGAACAAGAGAGGGAGCTGGGTATAAAAGGCAGAGGAATAGGAAAGTGTAGGGTATGCTGAGAGAAGTAATTAAAGTAGCCGTAGAATAGTAGTTTAGCCTCCAAGGTAGAGTCTTTCACCATTGTAACAGTTTAGCCTTGAATATCAATCAAAGAACCCAGCTTTATTCCTCTATTTCATTCTATTTTCTGTTCCTCTTACCTGTTGAATTTGTAGTCTATAGCATAGTTCTCCTTTTTGGGATATCAAACTTCCAAGGACAAAGAGCATAATACGAGAGTTGGCCCTACTTCTCCTAAAGTGAAATGGCCATGTGGTTGGCAATGTTGATTTTGTAACAAAGGGTGGAGCAATGAAGGTAACTACTCGAGATAGAAGACTCCTCACTCCGAACAATGGGATGCTAGATCCTCCAAAAATGTTTAACCCTTAATTTTGGCCAAATTCTAAAAAGGAGATTTTTTTTTCCTAGCAATAACATGTTAGAAAAACTCACTGCTCTTCCCCGTTAAGGCATACCACAAATTACTGGAAGTATAATCATCTTGTGGGTTAATTAACTGAACTTCAACAAATGTACTCAACGCAAAATATAAGCAAATACAAACATAGACAAATCTCGGTCCAACAAAGTTCAAAATTTTGAAAGATTTCAGAGTGAAAATACAACTTCATGGGTCTAGAAAGGAGGATCAAGGTGGACAAAGGCACTGGCTAATGGCTAGGAGTCGGATCCTATATCATCTCTCAAGGAAAGATTGGTAAATTGTCAAGATCTAAAGCATCATGTTATTGCTCCCATTCGTTTCATTAATCGAGATGCTTTGAATTGTTTGGGCCTTGATAACGAAATCAGGACATTATTTTATTGATATTGGCATGTGTACTATGTTGTCACTATGTGTACATATACGTTTGCTAATTGTACTCTTGAATTGTTATCGAATGTTGTGAAAACAGGGCATGGAATTTTACTTTATAAACAATAATGAATGAGAGCTATTGTACGTTTTTTGCTTGGACTTTGGTTGAGTATATATGCTGAAAATCAACCCATTAGATAATAACACTTAGTATTTCCATGATAAAATTACTCACCTGTAAAAGCCTCAAAGGTTAGTGGAGTAGTTGTTTAGGGAGGGCTGAGCAATATTGTTCAGAGTGAGGCTAACTTATCCACTTTCCCAGACTCGGAAAATGGAGCACTTACCTATGTCGACATGACATGACAGTGATGACACTCACTCAGACATATGGGGAGGTGAGGAGTAAGCCCTATGATTTATCAACCTTGTATATAGGTATATAGACGCAAAGACATTATTACCTGTGGTACAGAACAGTCAGCATGAGATGGATTCCAAAGAACAGAATGAAAACAATCCCAATTGTCAGTCTGGACCTCAAACAGAGGAGCCCTGCATACAAAAGACACTTTGAGTAGGCCTCATTAAATATTAGATAAGAATTATGCCAAGAATAATGCCAATAAGCAAGTAACAAGCAATGAAAATGCAAGGAATAATTATTTAGGGGAAGGGTATGTTAGTCATAGTCTATTAGTAGTAACTTGGGGAATAAGCTAGAGGTTTGTTAGGAGGGACTTTCTATTATAAATAGATCTCATTAGGAGAAAAGAGGACATGTAAAATATTGTGTGGTTTCTCATTGGGAGAGAGTGAGCCTCTCAAAAGCTCATACTTAGGAGGGAATCCACCTCTCGAAAAAGTGGAATTATCATTTGATTTACTGTAATTCTCATCTTATCAATATAATCATCATTTTCTTCTTATTTTCTGCCATTGTTAGTGCTGTAAACCATGTCAGTTCCTAGCAAAAAAATCCTAAGTCCTCTATGAAAACAATGTAGACCAGTTGAACAAAAAAACCACTTTAAACAATGGATTTGCAAGAGGATGAAGCATTGGATCGTAAGGGATGGAGGAGGAAGATTTTAGTTGATGACCACACGGAATAATCAAATTTGGTTCATGTAGCCGACCCCACTTATGTGATTAAGGCTTTTGATTATTATTATTATTATTATTATTATTATTATTATTATTATTATTATTATTATTATTATTATTATTATTTTTATTATTATTATTATTATTAGGGAATTTTGACTTTTACCACCTTCAAATAACCACTTAATTGAATTTACCACCTCCAAAAAAAAAAGATTTACTTTACCACCACCAAAATTTCCAAAAATTCGATTTTACCACCAACTAACGGATTCCGTCCATGAATCCGTTAGTAGGGCCCACCTTTTTGACGGTTCTTCTTCATCTTCCCCGATTTCCATATCAACCCAGCCAGCAACGAAATTAACACACCATGGTTGGTCGGAATTTCGTGTGGGGGCAAGGGAGGGGTCGGAATTTGGTGTAACTTAGGGAGGTGATCGGAATTAGGTGGTGGTTAGGGTTTTAGGAGTGCGGAATTTGGTGGTGGCTAGGGTTTTAAGAGTTGTCGGAATTAGGGGGGCTATATGGGTGGTCGGAATTTGGTGGCTAGGGTTTTGAGGTCGGAAATTGGTGAAAGGGGGTCGAAATCCGGTGTGGGGGCTGTGGCTGGGTGCGGTGCGATGCGGTGTTAGCGGTTAGGTGGTGGGGTCGTTGGTCGTAGTGATTAGGTGGTGGCTAGGGTTTTGAGGTCGGAAATTGGTGGAAAGGGGGTCGAAATCGGTGTGGTGGTTGTGCGGTGCGGTGCGGTGGTTGTGGCTGTGCGTTGCGGTGGTAGTTATTAGGTGGTGGGGTCGTTGGTCGTAACGGTTAGGTGGTGGGGGCTGGTAGCGGTTAGGTGGGGGGGCTGGTCGTAGCGGTCAGGTGGTGGGGCTGGTCGTAGTCGGTCCGGTGGTGGGGTCTCGACGGTGGCAGCAACCACCGGTTGATGGATGGGGTTTTTTATTTTTTTTTTTTGTTTTTTTTTTTTTTATTTTTTTTCTAAAGCTTACCCAATAATATGGCGACACGTGTGCAAGGTAGGCCCCACTAACGGATTTATGGACGGAATCCATTAGTTGGAGGTGATTGGTGGTAAAACTGATGTTTAATTTTTTTATGAGGTGGTAAAGTAAATCTTTTTTTTTTTTGGAGGTGGTAAATTCAATTAAGTGGTTATTTGAAGGTGGTAAAAGTCAAAATTCCCTTATTATTATTATTATTATTATTATTATTATTATTATTATTATTATTATTATTATTATTATTAATCCACGTTTCAAGGACCTATGAAAGGACCAAATGGTGTGAAAGCCAGAGTTGCAAAATTCAACACCCCTCAACAAATTCCACTATTCCAGAAAGTTAATCTGTACTGGTGAGAAATATTAAATTTCTGAAGATTAATTCAGATAAATAAAAGTTAGAGTTAGTGAATTTAGAGATCTAGGTCTGAACTTCTTCATGTCAGGAAGAGCCAACTAAAGTTGAAAAAATTGGCATTGAAAGTGCCTTTATGGTTTTTCTTAAAAAGAGAGAAAGAGATACTTAAACCTACTAGTGGTCCTTGGCTCCACCAACACAACCATCTCAAAAGAAACTTAAACCTAAAGTGAAAATGACTTGTGCCCTTGTCCTCAAAGATCTGTAGGTTTCGTACCTTCAATGTACAACACTATATAGCTAAACTATAAATTTACTCACTTTTGGTAAACCAAGCCTTTCTTCATAGCCATTAAATGAGCATTGGTACAATGATTCTTTCAAGTATATTTCAAAACCTCTTAAATATAAGTTATATAACACAATTACAACATATTCCATCATGCAACCAGGACATTGTCAGACATCCTCAAGCAAGCAACTCAACCATTCAAAGTGATCTTATCCTTGCTAAGAAGATTAATTACTAACCATCCTAATGTTTCAAGAAACCATTTCCAAAGAATGGCTCTTTAAATGATAGGATTATCAACTCTAACAGACGTAGACATTTGACCTTTCTAATATGCACCTATTCCCATGCCATATACTAGTAAATTAAGTACATATGTATAGTAGGAAAACTGCTCCCTAAATCCATTATTCACTCTTACACAAGCTAAATACTAAAAAAACACTGCAGTCCTGAGATGGGCTTCCAAAAGCCCACTTTATCGGCAACATAAAGCCGAACCATAAATTGAAAGTCTATGGGCCACTTCTGTAACTGGCCAGACTGCAAATCCTGGAATGAAGGTTTGACCCCACCTGTTTCAGATTAAGGAATCTCCAAAGTATCACAATTAGTGACTCCACAAATCCAAGAGCCTCATTAATTATATAAAGGGGTCCAGCATCCATCACATATTTAATTTTAGATGAGATCTTGTCAGCTGACCCAATGCATTCCTTTTTTTTTTTGGGTGCAATCCAATGTATTCCTTTTCAAATCTCTTTGCATAGCATAGATGACTTGTCTTTCCATTTTCTGTATTTCACAAGCTCCACTAATTGAGTGAATATGAAAGTTTGAAAAATCAGAAGGAAAAAAAAAAAAAAAAAACAAAAAAAACAAAGGTCAAGCACTCAAGCCAGCTGGGTGCGCATTAGCAAGGCTAAATAAAACCATCCCTTTTTTAGAAGATCTTAGCTACTATCCCACTGATATGTATGAATTATTTTATCTTTTAATATCTTTATATTTGATTCTTAACTCTCTAAATAAGATTAGTTAGTAATAATGCTCGCATTTATATTATTGTTTCGGAAAATAAATAATGTGTTTTGGGCTATTTTGAAGTATAATTTGCAAGTTGTTGCAGTATAATAATTAACTTATATGTCTAATAATTGTGTCATGGTGGTATATTAGTATAATTTTTATAATTCAATGAGTGATTTGTTGGTTTGATTGGAATTTGTGCAGGTCTGGAGATCACTAACTCAAAGAAGGCAAATTAATAAGACAAGCCAATCCCCATTATTTACCCACCTAATCCCACGGATTGCAACGCAGCCAACATTAGCATCAAAAAGGAAAAGAACTAAACTTTTCCTTATGAACATCAAAGCCCACACACAAACAAAGCAGCAAGAAGAAACGGAAATTTTAATTTCCTTTTAACTCCCACGCAAGAAGAGCAGTGGCAAGAACCAAAGAACAAAGAAGGAAAAGAAATATTTCCCAATGAGATCAACATACATCATGCAAGAAAGGAAAGAACGAGATTGAAATCCCACAAAATTTGTCAAAGATTGGATCTTGGAGAACACGAATCTACAGCAGCAAGTATAAAGAGAACAGAGAGGACAACCGCACAGGGGCATCGGAGGAGCAGTGACAAAGCACGGAGAAGAGAGAACGGAGCCGAATTCGAAGTTTTCGGGTAGATTTTCAGACGATAAGTTATCATAATTGGGTGATGTTCTCTGCAATTATGAGTAGCTAATTTCTCAATTCTAGGGTTTAGATGAAACCCTTTTAGAATGATTTTATAATTTAATTGTTTGACAATTATTTCTCATTTTATGATTGCACAACTTTCGATTACTTTGCTCAATTATTGTTTTCCAATTTACGTTGATAATAGTTCTAGTAAAACTATATATTGGCTTAATTGATTATCTAATTTAAATCCTTTGTTCTTGTAGTCCAGAGTGTGATGTTATGCAATGGTGCTTATTGATTTGTGAGCAATTAGTTGAATAATTTATCCTTACATAGATATATTATGCCACCTACTTGATCACGATATTATTTACTTTAGAGCACTCCAGACTTGTAGTCTTGGTTGCTTGATAAAAACCTATTACTCCTCTTTCTAATTGACTTATTAGTCGTATTTATGGTGATGAATTCAACCGTCCTAGGGTCCCTCCAGATTGATTGTTCTATGTGATTATTTTATTATTCTTGTCAACTTATTTGTCTCATTTAATTTTTGTTTTTGATTCTTCTAGTTAAAACTACTCAAATTTTCTTTTCACTAGAATTAATTTAGTAGACTAGACTTGGAGTTATTCTACATTTCTTGTGGATACAATACCCTATTATTTATCACTATCTATTAAGAACTTGTACACTTGCAAAAATAGGGTTTTAAAGATTGTCTAAAATCACTAACACCCGCAAGTCTCTTTTGTAGTCCAGTCCCTCAACAATCGTCCAAAAATAGGTTGAACTTAAAAGGAGTTCAACACAAACGAAAATTCAAGGACTGTAAAAGAAGCTAATACTTCATAACTGAAAGCTTCAGCAAGAAGAACTGTAAAATCAGCTAATTTTAAAAAAAAAAAAATATAAGAAAAGAGAGAGGGAGAGAGAGAGAGGAAAGTTGGGAAGGAGCATGCCTAAAAGAGAAGAAAATAACAAACAAGTTGCAACATTTGCTGTTCAGATTACCTGCGCCACTTTCCACATATAGTTCCATCAATGTTGTCTCCCATGCCAACAATGACATCTCTACACTGAAGCCAATTACCAATAAAGGCCTTATGAGGTTTGCCAGATTTAGGTCCCTGAAGAGAAAATATTAGGAGTCACCTTTTGCCGCAGAATGTGAATTATATAAGACAGACCAATAATTGTGTTAAATGGAAATTTGTAAGCCTCACCGGAAAATTGACCGATTGCAATGGATCCAACTCCATTGGTTCAGGAAACGAACTGACTCCCCTGCATCAAACCAAAAGCAGATATAACTTGCATAGAAACCACAACTTGATTAAAAAATAAATATATATACACACACATATAGATGAACAAAAAAGACGACACTTGAACTGTAGGCACATTATTCTCTTGCTCAAGGTGTAAAAAAAAGTTCATTTTCAGGGTGCACAGTTATTAAAACTGTATGAGCATATTTTTCTCAGTTTCAACCTGACAAATTATGCAATTATAGCTCAAATATCACACCCCCTGACAATGGACTTGTAGTTCAAGTGTTTATGAGCCTGTGCGTCTGTGCCTCTGTACCATCTCACCATTTATCCCCCCCCCCCAATTTCCTCACCTAGTCACCTCTCACCTCCACGGAAAGCTTACCCCTACCTTCTCTCTCCCTTCACTAAAATATCCTCACTAGTAGCAAGTAATACTTCAAAATTATCAAAGGATTTTGAGCCATTAGTGGTCCAACAATGATGCTAACCCCTCCCAAGACTTCTCATATTTCAATCATAAGTTCTCTAATTTTTGTCCAAATAATAAGATATGGTTCCCCGTAGCTGGAAAGTAGAGAGGCAAGTATGGGAAAATAGCAATAATTGGCAAACATAACAGAGAATGAAATTTTCTTTATAGGCCATTGGGAAAATATATACTCCCTTCATCCCCAAAGCAAACTTCCCCAATAATTTTTCAGACATTCCAATATTCCATCCCAAAAGTTACAAAAATTATAGACAAGGGGTGTCACCTTAGTTTTAATAGACACACCGGAGCCGAGATACAAAGGGTTCCTACCATGGTTATAAGTTTCAAATGGGGTCACAATCGTGGTAATGATAGTGGAACCTCTTCCGTGGGTAATGTAAGTGGCATGTGGCTATTGCAACCTAATATTTCAGTCGCAATAAGCTTGCAATCCTTTGTGTGATTGTGATGCAGTGAGTGACACACCTAAAATTTGATACCATGATCCCTACACCCTACGAAAGGTGAAAGTGCCCACTCACAACAGATCTCTTCCCTATCTATGGGATCCGCTCAGATATTAATCTTTTCTCATTCTTTTTGGATTTTGCGGTAGAGTTTTGTGTTAAAAAAGCCCAAACATCAAGCAAAATAGAATCTAAACAAAAATAAAGCCTTAGTAACTTTAGCTACAGGCTACACGAGAGAGAAAGAGAGAGAGAGAGAGAGAGAGAGAGGGGGGGGGGATGGAGAGCATCACAACCTACAACTTATACTCTCTAGAGACCCTTGTTGTATCCTCGCAAGTCGCATCTTCAACATGGTATTAGAGCTAGACAAATAGATACTTGGACACAAGACCCAAATCAAAGCAGCAAATATTACAAATTTACAACACTAACTTCAAGAACTTTTAGTTAATATTAAGTTTTTTCCCTTAGCATCTATCTGACAAGCAACAAGGGCAGGCTTGCCTTGTGCATTTCCACTCGGTCATTGTTCACCAAAGAGGCATTAAAAAACAAACAAAGGGTGTCACCCGTATACAAATTGAAAGCAAAAGAAAGTATTTTTATTTCCATAAAAAAAAATAAAAAAATAAAAAATAAATAAAAAAGAAAGAAAGAAAGCAAAAGACAACAAATTATGCCATCAAGCCTATCATGAATTAGTTTATCTCCAAAACCAAGCCAAAAGATACTCACAAGCTACTACATAATACTTTCACTCTAGCTTTTCAAGAGCCTTAAGCATTGAATCTTAAATCCTAGTCCGGGGAAGCTATCCCCTCAAAAATTCATTTGTCATCCCATAAAATTTATATGTCGATTCTATCCCTTTTGAGTATGTGTGAAGACTCTTTCCAATAAAAGCCCTTCACATTAACCCTAACCCTATACCCATTGTATTACACGATCCAATAACCACCCCAACACACTACTAGCTTGTCAAAGGAAACACATTTCAAAGATCTATATCCTCCTCAAAGTTTAGTCTTACAAGGTAGAACTTCACAAATCCTATTAGCATAGATAGATACAACAGGACAGCCTAAGGACATTATTAAAAGATTCAATCAAGTAATCAAGATTACAAATAATTTCAGTGGGTGATATGAATGGTATCCTTTCATTTTCACCAGATTGAGTAAGGAAAAAGTATCAGCAAGTACGGAGAACACCTTAATGGACAAACGGCCACAAATCCACTAACCAAAAGGCATAACAGTAGGAATTAAGGAAAGGCAACAAACCTACACCACTTACTTCTACAAGCAATATTAAATGGATCTGATGATAAGCTGAACCTAACCTGCATGTCTTAAACCAATTTAAAGACATCAAACTTCAAACCTCCCAAAACTTCTCCTACTAGAACTACATAGTAGATACCTAACTTGTCATCCTATTCACAATTCTGCTGAGTGGAAGAGCAGATAATACAACCGTGACATTTCCAACAATTCTCAGTTCACACACCCAATAATCCAACTAGGCACTTCTGATTGAAATAAACATAAGATTTTTCTGGCAATTCAAACCCTAAAACAAGAAATCTCATGTCATAGCCAACTGACAAAATAACCAAGCAAAATGGCTATGAACCCAGATATTAAGATATGAAGCCCCTACCAAATACCATGTCAAAAAGTAATACACCACAGTATAAAAGTTCTCCCCTATAAAATTCCAAGTTGCTCAAGAAGAAAAGATCGATCACAGATGATGATAGAAAAGCGGCTAATAGATTACAAAGAGATTCCAACTCAAATCATCCCTGCAAAAGGCCAACACGACTTGATTTTATTGAATAAATTAGCAAATAGATTATTGAGCATCTGTATATTCCACATAGCTTATCATGTGTTTCCCCATGACCTTGTTTCATAGAGCTAAATTACCTATTAGCTATAGTAAGCAACTCACATCACTACCCAGTCACCATACCTTGAATTGGCTTTATTATGATCCCATTCTTTCTCTGATCTAATTATAAAGATTTAAGAATAACCACAACAATATAAGATACCCCCATAGTTCCACACCTATCGAAGGTACCACAACATTCACTCTTACTAAATTAGATAGCTAGTACCTATTGGTGAAAAATAAGTCATTCTTCACTAAATGTATATAAACTACATACCTGTTAAAGGTTATAGTTATTACTTGTTAGCTAACATAGAAAAGGTCACATATGTAATTGCGCCAATTTTTCATTAAGATACTTAAAGCCAATTGATTGGAACATACCGTGTAACAGGTCCACACCACTCAGGAACGAATGCTTGAAATCCTTTACCAACCCGGACACCAGTTATGTAAGGCTGAGAATCATTTAGCATCAGTGCTATTGGACTGAAATCTCCTTCAGATGTCACAGAGCCCTTATCAGTCCTGATAATTGATGACTTTCTTACTGCTCTCTCTTTTAACAAGTTATGCTTCTTTTTAGAGCACGGTTGACAATACCAATCATCAGTCGGAATCTTTCTTATGCACGGATTGAAGCATGATATATGGAAGGCTTTCTCACACTCATCACAAATTAGCATGTTTGTGTCTGCTGTACCGATTCGACTACAAACATTACAAGTTCGAGAGCAACTCCTGCCACTACATGATGGAGCTTCTTCCTCAGAAGTACCAGATCTATTTGACCCAGAATTAGACAACAAGCCATAACTTCGAAGAATAGAAACACAAAGACCCTTAACCGATATGGATTGGTCATTTCCCGTCACATCTACAACAACTGCACCAGAGGATGAACACTCATCAGTGTCATCTACTTTATTCTTCAACGGAGACGAACCGCTATCCAAATCAAGCCTTGACGATGAACAACTATCATCTACACTATACAACTCAAAACCCTTGTTCATCTTGTCTTTTCCATCAAAGCCACGGTCCTCAGTCACATAACCATCAATTGCCTCCGATGTTGTCAATGGTTGTTCTATTGAAGAAACCCTAGTAGCCTCCCTTTCATTTAATCCTTTATTTCTTGTGCCTAGGGTTATGGCAATGGCATTATTATCTGATCTAATACCCGAAGTACAGGCACCGTTAGGTAACGAGTTTTCCGAGAACATAGCTACAAAATTAGGGGCTACACTCTTTTGATTCTTCCTTCTTTCATAGACAAAAGTAATATTATCAGGTGATAGGGTTGGGAAAACAGGAACAGGATTCTTAGAAACCCTCTTTCTGTGATACACAAAATTAAGGGCAGAAGTTTCAGATGTAATACTGAGACCTGATAACTGTGAACAGCTTTGCATATTATTCAACATGCCTACACCAACATCAACTGCTCCACCCCCAAAAGCATTCCCCGCCTCGGGTTTCGAATCCATCTTCCATACATTACCATCCAACAAAATTGACATTCTCAAATCCACTAATCAAATTCAATTCAAATTGACATGCAATATCACCACAATAACATCAACGAAAACCAATAATTTCAATCAAACAAAAAGGGGAATTAAATCACTTACCACTATTTAAAACCCTAGATATCTCCTGCTCTTATCAAACCAATCAAAAACCCAGAATTTCTGTTCTATTTCCAACCATATATCGTTTAATCTGTGGAATAATGGGTTAAATTGATTCTAAAGTTTGCATTTTCAGGAAAAAAAAACACAATCTAGAATTGCAAACCCATGAAACAATTCAAGCCCCAACTTCAATGCATAAATTACACAAACAAACTATGCAGAAAAATAAGAAATCAAGCACATAGAACATTCAAGAAATTAACTTTGGGAAAGAAAATTGCATGAAATTGTATAAAAATAGTGGGTTTTTTTTTTCGACAGAAGTGGGGCAAAAGGGTGGAAAGAGAGAAGGGATGCACGTTTGAGGGGGCTGGTGGTGGGATGCCGGACTGTGTGAAGAGGGACTAGGACTAATGATATTTGTGCATATAGAGGAACATCACACTTCCAAATATCCTAGAAAACAGCACAAATATAAAAATCTACTAGTATATGAAGGTGGTATCAAGCTATAATTAATCCATGTCTATTGAGTAGAGAAAAGACACTAATTCGACATTGATATAGATCTGTGTGAACGGTTTGTTATGAATAAAGTGTTGGCCTAGTGGTAAGAAAAGAACTTTCTGTCGAATGTTTGTGACGACTAAAGTGTAGGTCTGATGGTGAGGAAGGAACATTCTGTCAAGTGTTTGTTATGAGCAAAGTGGTGGTGAGGAAAACTTTATGTCAAGTGTTTGTTATGAGCAAAGTGTTGACCTGGTGGTGAGGAAGGAATTTCAATGCTTGTTACGAGTGAAGTGTTGGCCTGGTGCCCTGGTGGCGAGGAACGAACTTTCTAATTACGAGGTTGGGGATATAAATCCTATTAAAGACATAGTTTGAGGGTAAGAGATTTCCTTACCATAAACAACTCGAGTTGGATTGACTTGTGAGAGGTTTTTGATTGGTAGGATAATTTTATTTCTATTAAGGACAAATTTTGAGAGTAAGAGATTCCCTTACCATAAACAAACCCGAGATGGATGAAGGTTTCATACCGATAAAATAATTCTTTCATCGGGGTAGGAATCTCTTGTTCTTTTGACAAAGGCGAACCAAATTGAATGAAATTGTTTCTTGGTCAAATCACAAGGGAACCTCTTGTTAGATCAATGCATGTGTAATACCAAAATTGCTTGTTCATTTTGTTGATGGTTTTTGAGTTGAGCAAGGTTGGTGCAATCAAATCCACTTATTCAATATTGGAATATAATTTATTCGAATCATAATGATAAGAAAATATTTACATTATTCAATTATAGGCACTTAAACTTCAAAAATCATAAAATCTTTTATGCATACAATATAGCAATTACTTTCCTAATCTTCTTTTAATTACAACATTTATACTTTCACACTATTCACACACTCTTTTAATCATCTTTTATGATTTAAACATTAAGAAAAGTTAAAAATAGATCTAGCTTAGTCTTGCTATAAAGTATTTAAATTTATATAATTAAGGTGTGATATACTATAATTCCGTTGTTACACTATGTTCTAATCTATATATTATTATCACAGCAAACACGTTTAAGCATTTAAAAAATTAGGATAACACTTCTAAACAAAATTACACAATGACCTATAGTAGAAGTGTAAAACCAGTAATAGCAACTTTTTTACCAGCGAATGATAATTGACATATGCTTGCTACAAGAATTTTAAACTAGATGATATCATAAAAACTCCTAATAGAGCTTTAATACATTAGGGAAGTTGCATTCTCTAGAATCTGTATTACACTTCTCCTCAACCAATTAGGAATCGGGAAACTTTTATTTCAATTACAATCCAAACTAACACAATCTGCTAACTGTAAAGCACATTATGTCATTCTACATTTGCAGGTTTCAGGACCTATCTGCAGATTAAACTTGAAGCGTTTACCCTCCTGTATGTGTTGGCAAAGTTCAGCATCCCCTTCACGAATGCAAATTAGCAATTCCATTCTGTGAATGATTAAGACCTTTTTCTATTGGCCATTTCGCCCCTGCCATGACAGCTTCTATCTCCCATGTCTCACGCGGAACATTGGTCATGTTCTTGCAGCCAGTTGAGGTGACGTACTGAATAATTCAATAGGAACAAAGTTAGAAAAGACCTTCACTCCCACAAATTCATGTAGCTAAAGGAAACAAATGTGATGGTAATAATAAGCAAATCTATGCACAACTACAACATAGGACAACCATAATAAAGCTCGCTTCCACCAAAAAAAACTTTAAGTAGACGAGGACATGAAGAGTGTCTACCAAATGATCGTTAATAAAAATAAACATTTAACTTAAACGACAAGAACAACCAGGCACCTTGAGGAGCCATGTAGAATTGTCAATCAAGTATAAAGAACATGGATGACAACAGAGTTCAAGAAAGGCGTGAAAAAAACCCCACAACACCAGTGAATTGTAAACAATATTAAGAGTAATAAGACAACTGAACAATACCACATCACTTTCAATTCGAACACCACCAAAGTCCACAAATCTCTTTATTGCATCAGCATTGAAGAATCTTGAAGTTTCTGAACTTTCCATTGCTGGAATCAGTAAAGCACTGATGAAGTAGCATCCAGGCTCTACTGTAATTACCTGAAACAGGTTGGTCAAATCAGCTCTTTATTTGTTTATATTTACTGATTTTGTATGTGTAAGACAATACAAACACACATCAACAACGATAAACGATTTATAGTGCACTGACCATTATATAAAACTAGGTTAGATCCCGTGCCATGCACGGTGATTTTTATATATAGATAGTTATAGATTATTGATTGAGAAGTATTATAATTATAAATTTGTCGAAAAATAATAAAATTGTGTGATATGTTAATTTGGTATTTGCAATTTTAATTGTAGCTTCTAATACACAACTAAAACAAAAGTAGGCAAAAAAATCTGAGCAATATTTTTTCTTATTGTAAAATAGGTCACCAATTATTTAAAAATGTTGATTTTTGGTATGTATTGCCCAAATTTTTTTTTTAGAAAGCTTTGTGAATGAATCTTTCATTTTAAATATAATAATTATTACGTGTTAGTATGAAATATGTACAAAAAAATAATATGATTTTTGTAAATGATTTGCTTCCTAAATTAATTTTTTTTTTTTAAAAAAGGAAAAAAAATAACTAAGGACACACCAGGAGATGACACGTGTCATCGCTGGTGTGTCTTTTAGTATATAGTATTTGATTGATTGATTGATGAATTGAAAAGAGGGCGATGCATGACAGCAGGGCATGGCAGCCAAAAGCATAGTGTATAAATCCCTTTTCTCAATAAGAAAGGATATGCAAGATATTGCTTTGGACTTTAAGGGATACCCTCTGGGCTAAGGACTATGGAGCATTCCAGAAGTAGAATCTTCTGGAAGAATTAAGTGTTACATGCACATGTTTAAGTGTGAAGTGAAGTATGAAACAAAAAACATATGCTAACCATGTCCTCCTTTAGTTCTCGGGCTGTACGTAGAGAGCTTAACCCGGGTTCTTTTGGACGCTCCAGTCCCTGCAAATTTGCAAAACAGTTACCATAAATCAGAAACACCAACAACTAAGAAAGATAGAAGATCAAAAGGATAAGCAACCAAAACCTTAGGATAGCCCCCTGGATCATGGGTGTCGATGCCCAACAAGTGACCAAGACCATGAGGCATAAAAACAGCTCCCAGCCTTAGAGCCATCATATCCTGGATATCTCTATAAGAAGAGAAAATTAGGGAAGAAAAAATATGAGAACAAGAGTTTACGCATGACATGAAAAGAGCAATAGGCACTGCCTTACCCAGTGATGATGTTCCCTTTCTTTAAAGCCTCAAGTATGACTTTCTCAGCAAGTCTGACACCAAGACGCTCAGTACAAAAATCACAAGACAGAGAAAAAAAAAAAGAAAATAAGGCATTTTGAAGGAACACAAATACTAAGCTGATATGAAGATTTCAAGTGTCAACATCCAATCGTAATGACAAGTAAGCCACACAAATACTAAGCTGATATGAAGAGTCAGATCACCATTATTCAAAAAAAAAAAAAAAAAAAGTCAGATCATCATCAGTTAGCAGGATGACAGAACAAAGGGTTGACGAAGATGCCATTATTACCCTAGAAGGGGAAGGGGAAGGGGAAGGGATTGTATGAGAGGATATGAAGCTCATAGAGTTAAAAATAAAAGATAACACATTGATAATTAGGCATATCTTAAGGGATCAAACAATGATGATGATCACCTGAAATCCTTAATTTCTTCATTAATCCGTGGAGCAAATTTAAGCTCTCTGCTGTCTAAGGCATGCCACAAATGTGCCCTATAAGTGAGCAAATTTAAGCTATCTACTGTCTAAGGCATGCCACAAATGTGCCCTATAAGTGTTCATATTCTTCATATATTCTTCATATAATTAAGTAAAAGGGAGATACTATCTGGCAAGTCCATTAAATTGACGAATGTACACGGATTGTACACACTATTGTTTAAGAATATGTGAAGAATGGGTTTAAATATGTAAGCATATACTGAGATATAGAAGCCTTAAGCTCTCAGTTTGCCGATGTGGAAAGAATTGAATAGAATTATGATTTTATACAAATTCCTCAGATTTAGGGGCCTTACAGTTACACTATTAATGCATTATAAAACATCAGCATATAATGTTTCGTCGAAGCAAAATCTACATACTTCATAGAGCACATGTCTTGAGCAAAGTTCACCCAATATTAGTAACTGACTGTCAAACACTTTAAAAATTTCAAACCATTCTAGTATCGAAAACATTTCTCAGTGACAGACACAAATTATGCAAACATCAAAAGAAATGCAGCAGAAAGCAACAACTATAAAAAGGGACTCGGACTCTCAGACATACTTGTGCATATTTATCCAATTTACTCCAGGTTTCATTGCCGCTATGACAGAATTGTGAGCATCAAGGACAGCCTGCAAATATGAAGAAAATTTTGAGAGTATGCACTATGCAGCAACAAAGTTGTCAACTTTAAAAGTCAAAGAGTGACTGTAACTCAGAAGATCATAGCATACAGCTTAACAAGAAACTCACATTGTATATAAGACGTTGATCAGCAGTAAATTTTCCATTTACCTGAAGCAAACCAACAAGCACCGTAATCAGAGTCAGAAAACAAATAGCTTCATCACTTGAATAAAGAGTGAGACAAATCAATTATTTTGGCTAAACTTATATTTTGTCTAAAGTAAGTAGAAATTTTAGTAAAATACAAGAACCAAATAACCTAATAATATTGACAAGGCAATAGTTAGTCCATTGGTACCAAGAATATTTATATTGGTATACAATATATTCCCTATTTTTATTCCTCTTCTTACTTTTTTTTTTTTTTTTTTTTTTGGAATACTATTCCTCTTACCTTTTCCCTCACATGCTATCTATTTTTCTCTTTTTTTTTTTTTTTTTCTTTTTCTCTTTTTCCTTTCTCCATCTCTAACCTGCTTTTTTCACTTTCTACTGCTATTTCTCTCCTTCTGTCTCACTCTCACCTATTGT